GAAATCGTCAGACAATCATTCCGTATTTTCGTCATTACTTCGATTGTGCGAGAAACTCTCATACTAAACAGGAACAGGAAACGAGATTGCGTTTCGTTAACAATAGATGTCCGGATTAAAAACGCGTTTGACAGTTTTCAACGGTACTCATCTGCGGACAGCCCGTACTTAGACGGAAACGTTGCGTCCCGTAGAATATCCGTTGTAACGTTTATTAATTCAGCGAAGATCTGAACGGGCGAGACCGTGATACCTTTGACAACGTTCGAGTTTAAAGCCGTTGCAAACTTCGCCACGGGGATACCTTCGCCCGTATATCTACACCCTTCATCCCCAAGTCTCACCTTGGGAGCCTGACATTCTAGTAGCTTCAATGGAAATTGAAGTAGCGTCTCCTAGATACCGCTAAGCTACCAGCGTACATTCTCAATAAGGTCTTCCCTAGTTAGCTACATCTTGCCCGTCCTTTGTGGAACACCTACTGATTTATGTATCTCGATATTTTCCAAAAGGTAACGAGAATTCTAGAGAGATGGTAATGTATCAGAAATGATTCACGTCAAAGATTAATTCCATTCTTTTGTGTTCCATTCTTCAACCGTTTTCTGTGTTTATTTCTTTGGGGGATCCTTCGATGATCACTGTCCCGACCGTAGCTTTGTACAATGGAGACCCGGAGTGCTAAAGCTTATCGGGGAGAGCAGCTAGGTAACGCGATTGTCGACACTGGATATCTTCTGGCAGTAGCCGACAATTAAGTCTAATTTCCGTGGGACTGCTCCACCCCGGGACATCGTCGCCGAATTGCACCGACTCCCTCCATTCTTCTCGCTCCTTGTCCTTTCCCGAGGCGCGGAACGGAGTGTAACTTCTCACAATTACCATGATACACCCTCGCCTCGTGAGCCCTGGTAATTCGATCAAACTACGGGGGCAAGTTTCCGCGACGCCACCGACCGGAAACTAGAAACTGCACCGGTGCAGTCGTCCCCGTACACGATCTTTCTCTATCCCTGAACGTAAAGAGGTTTCTGGCCGTCTACGAGAGTCGTTTCGAACCGAGGTCGCCCAGTTGAAGACACTTGCGCGACTTGCCAAGGGCAACCATATTAGACCCGAGGCAATGTGAAGATCAAGAATTTTTCTTTTTCAAGTAATAATTAAATCTTGCTTTAAGACGCTTTGTCGTCGTCAGTCAATTTTCCAATGCGGTTGGGGAGTCGTACACGTCGGTAGATCATGAGCCGTCTGGAACTGTCAAGACGGCTGGAACGCGACGGCGAACGTTTGTCATTTGCAGTGCTCCAGAGACGGCGCGATCATTCCGAGCTTCTTATCGACTCTAATAACCACGTGCTCAGGGTTTCTCTCGACATCCGTTGTTGATCCGATTTCCGTATCGATTTTGCAATTACGAAACCCGCTGTTCCGGGTGCCAGATGCTCCGTCCTTGCATCTCGAATGTATCGAGCTGCATAAATCATACCGGTATTTGTTTATTAACGCTCAACACGAAACGTACACAGCGTCTCGTTGTTAACGGTGATTCATGAAAATGTGACGCGAAGTTGAAGTTAAAGTTAAGCAAATATAACGTCGACTAGCTCTCGTGTACCGTAAATTGGCGGTGGACGAGTCACCTTCCTATTCGTCGTCTCCCGTGAGATTGGTCCGATCACCTTTCCCATTTCTTCGTCTTCCTCGGGGCAATCAATTTTCGATTCGATCCGTGGAACCGCAAGGCGAGGGAGCAACAAAGAGGTGAGGACTATGGTCACTGGGCCGCGGGCGCGCAGAGACAGCCGGGACGGAAAAGGTTTTCCGGGGATGGAAAATTCGTTTTACCGGACACAAATGCACTCGGAGTGGAAAGGGATCAATTTCGAGGAACCGGGGAAAAAGGTTTTGGAACGGGAGACAGGTCTCTGGGAAATTCAGGAATCCACGCGGATCTCGTTACTTAAATGGGCCCGCGTCCCACATACTCGTTCAATTATCGCGATCTTTAAAAAATGTTGATACAGAAAATTCAAAATACGCGAACGTATGAACGAACGTTACGAGAAATGACAGGAACGATTCATAACATCGTGATTGGTTTTGAATGCACGAAGGTAAGAGGCTTTGAAAGACGGTGTCGAGTATCGGGTTAATGCCTCGTCATAATGAAACTGGCGAATCATTTCCGCGTAATCTTCAATTTTGATTAGTCATCGTCGGGTGAACGATCCACGTTAACTTTTTTTCCTCGTACGCTTAAATATTTCCCCGTAAAAGAAAGTTGGGTTATTAAATCGATCTGCGACGGCTTTGGCTAAGGAAGTTCACGGAACTCCTTACTGCGAGGCAGCAGACGGTTCCCGTCCGCTGAAAGGTATAAGAAGCTTTAGCCGAAGAGAAATTTCCGGTTTCAGACAGCCGGAAACTTAGACGGACCTGATAAATTTCAACGGGGGTCTCTAAGCGCTGTGCCGAAATTTCTCTTCGGCCAGAGTTAATAGGGTAGTTCGATGGCGGTTTTCATTTCCTCCGCGGAATGTCGTTAACTCGACTGCCGGAACCCGCGTGCATATTTTTCCCTACAATTCTCCCGAACGGGACCATCGCTCTTTCGGGCCGACACCGTTCCCGTTGCCTCGCTGATACATTTGCAAAGAACTGAATAAACGCAGATAAACCTGGCCAAAGCGTTTGGACAATGGTGACGTACAATTATCGTACATATTACTGTCGTTCCTGAGATAACGTGGCAAGCGGGCGTCCCGCAAATGAAAACTAGAACACACCGGGACCGGTGATTGTTCCCGCTTCATCTGATAAATGTTACTGGCATACTTGTTCCTCCCTCTCCCCCCCAGTGTGTTGCGTATAATCCGGTTTAATCTCGGATTAGACGCATAAGCTATGGCTTAATCCAATGCACCGAGAACGTGTTTGGTCATTTGCATACGCGGCCTCGCGTCTTTGGACCAACGATATCCGTGCAAGATGTTAACCCGGTTGAAACTAACGACGTTTAATCGTATCTATATGTTTTATTTATTGGTCTGAAAATGACTCAGTCGCAGCGTTCACTCATTTACCGAAGATTAATATTATAATAAATGTTATACAACATTTCATACAATAATTGTTGTAATCTTTAATACAACTCGTGATGTAATGATGACTAATACAAACTTCGGGCTTAACTTAACCAGTTAACTGTGTCGATCATTTTGCAAAGTGCGCCCGTGTGTGTGTCACGATAATCAAGCGATGACGGATATAGTCGTCAAACACAGAGTAAGTGGCGCTGTTGAAATATTGGGTCAAAAAGACGACTTTATTTTAGAAAATGAATGAATTTATTCACGGATATAGCCGTCATAACAGAAAATTCTGCCATTCTTCCATGACGGATATAGTCGTCAAACACACTTAACTGGTTAAATAAGGAAGCGTTACCGTGAACGTGTAAAGGGTTAACGAGGTGGAGCGAGGCTTATGATCCGTGCGACGCAATTCATAACAGATTTAACCCTGGAACTGTGCGCGTCGGTCCTCTAACTCGGACGAATGTTAATCCCGGCGATCGAATACACGGAAAAGCCGTGTTGCTCGGCGTCTCTCTATTCTTCGCGTAATCGGCCGTAATTCTGTTCTTAATGCACTCCCGTTTCTAGCATTGGTCTAAACCTACAATCTCCGAGTACTCACTGTCTCTTAGAAAGTCTGACTAATATTCAAGATCACGATTGAAAGGTTCTAGTCTCGAGGATCTAGTCTAGACGTTGGTCGATGCGTTTAAATGATTGGACAGTTTTCTATGCTCCATAGAAATGGATTCACGTTCAAACGTACTTTCCATGAAACGAACTTTCAATCAAGCATCGATCCTTGAACGTTCCAAGTTTTTAATGAATCCGGTGAGTTTCGCGCGCGGCGCGGGTCTCGCGACGGGAATCGCAATTTGCCATTAGAACCGTAGATCCGGCGAAAAATATCGTTCCCATCTCGACTGTCCGGTGTCGAAATTTTTCAACGCTCACAGCAGTGATAGAAGAGGTATACCTATGGAAGAACCGAGTGTCTTTTTGGGTCAACTCGGCAGCGATGGAGAGAGCGGTTTAAAAATCAGCGGAACTATTTCACGAGCCGACGGGCCATTAAGGTGATAAACGTTTAATGAAGTTTTAGGGAGAGATATAGCCCAAGATTTCGCAATGGGGTTCTCAACGTTCGCCCGATTTATTCCACCGCCGTCTTGCATTTATGCACAATCTCGACTCGATTCAGTTAAATCCACGATAAGCAAGCGACGAGTATTATTGCGAGCTTTTTACCGAGAGTAACACTTTTGAATGAAGTTATGAAAGCGATTCATGACCGGCGATGTATTATCACCGCGTTACGATAACTGAGAAGTTTCCAGCGCAAATTTTCCACGTGTCGGGGGGTAACACGTTTCCATAGAAGTCTCTTTCCCCCGGTACGGCGGTAAGAGTTTCGAAGGTGCGATAAGGCCGGTTCGCAAATTTTACCGCTTTTCCGAAGTGTCCGGGAAGATAGAGGCCGTTTATAGAGAGACAATATAGGGGCGGTAAAATTGAAGACGCGCCCTTATACATGGCAACCGATAAGCCGAGGCGGCCCGCGGGCTCCGGTTCCGGCCTTAAGCCGATCAAACTGTAGCGAGTTTAGGTATATCGACGTAGACCGGGTTATCTTCCTTCAATCTCGCTGTGATAACTTGTTAGCGATGTTAACTGCTTCGTAAAATTGGTATCGGAAAGTACGCTAGGAGCCACGAAGATGCTAATGATTCTGTTTAACTTCGAACTTTATTGTTTCCGATGCGTTTGAGTTTGGCAAATGTCAGCACACGTCCTCCCTAGTTTACTTCCGATGATCGTCTTCGAGGAAGGCTCCGAGCGTATTTTCCGACAACGAATTTCCACGTTTACTTATTTACTTGTTTGAAATCGGTGAAATTTTAAGAGACAACGTTTCTGTTTCAGGTACGCTGCACTTTGCTCCAACTGTTCTCCGATCGGTGAGCCATTAAACCATTTTTTTACTTTATTACGATAATCGAAACGCGACTCGCTTTCCGGGTTTAACACCCTATCGCAGGATATACCCGAGGCGGGGAATTTAATTCGAAGCTTTTTGGGCGCTCCGTCCGATTATTCGCCGGATTGGAACGAACGTTTTTTCCCGTAGATTCCGAAACGAAAATCGAATATCTCCCCGAGCAGCGAAAATTCGCTTTATTCCTGCCGACATTTTCCGAACCGGGTTCCATTATCCCGGGAACGGTTTTATCATTTTCAATCGAAGAGCTAGAATCGTCCGTCGAGTCAGACCTGTGTCGCGCCAGTCGATCACAGTACGCTTAGATCTCAATCATCCAGTATTCTATCGATGCATTTAACACAATTAGATTATTATAAATTTCCTCAAAAATTCTCACTTTGTCATGTTCTGGTCGTACCTCGCCTGCTAGCGTGAGTTGATTTAAAAGACATCAAATGGAATCTCTCAAGTCCCCGTTGAACATTCATTCGCGGTTCTGAGGCAACTTTGAAACGTTCACGGACCTTGAAAAAAATCGAACCGTTCCGCGGCGAGGAGGTGGAAAATTCTCATTAAAACAGACAGACGCCGCGCCGCAGTGGGTCCACTGTGCTAGCCGAAAGCTCGACTGCTACTCGAAAAACTAATGAGCTCGTTCCGTAACGAGCCGCGCATGATACGCATCGGTATGGAATATCATTCGCGAGCATCGGTTGCTTCGTTAACGTCGACGTGCGACTTTTTACGCTCGCGATGCGCCGCTGATAATGAATAATAAACAAAAACGAAGAGGAAAATTGTGAAACGCGGGTCTCGCGGGAGAGGGAAGAAAAGCGATGTGTAGATTACTGGTGTATGTCTTTTTGTTTTCCCCGCGGGAAGATAAATGGACTGTTTCCTTCTCCACGGAACGGAGTCACGAACCTATGAAAAATGAAGGTCCTTGGCGGTCTCCTTAAATGAATTAGGCCAGGCGCGTACGACGAATGGCGAAATCTCACCGCGATTCGCGAAACTGCGTTCAGAACGAGCCAAACGATGCCTTCTCGCTTTGAAGTACTGAATGGAACGTAGCGAAAAACGTGCGAAACTTCACGTAATGAAAATTTAACTAATTATTGAAGTTTCGATATTATTAAGCGAGGAATTAACTCTTTCCGAAGTTCAGATCCAACGATTAATTGGCAAAAGCTATCGATTTACCAGAAAGGTGAATTTTAATTCGATGTAATCGGTCGTCGTTTATCACTTGGATGGCGGCGGGTATCGTGTTAAAGTAGCTGAAATTGAGCTTTAACCCGTTTTCTTCCAGGCGTTGTTAACGAAGTTTCCCGACGCCAGCGTCGCTTTAACGTTCGAACTCTTTAATTCATATTTATGGAAGCCAAGCTTGATGGAAAGTATCGATGGATACTCGATGGCCGCGGAGAAACTGCTGTTTCCTCCTGCGCGTGATCGCTTTTTTCATTAACGTTATTAATAGACGGGACGGGTCCGTCAGAGTGAAAAAATGGAATAATTATACAATTAAAAAAATGATGATACAAGATACGAGTAGGATAGTATTTATTGCAGTTCACAATTCATGGTGCTCAAGATCACTTAATTTTCCCGTAGATGAATAATACATCAAACGGAAAATTTCCATCTCCTTTTCGTGGTGATTAATTTTCATTTATGAGAATATCGCTAAGAGAAGACGATGGAATTTCACGTTAATGAAAATCGCGCGGACCTTTCATCTTCGATAAGTAGATAGATAATTTAAAGAAATTGAAAGTCTGGCAAATAATTGGGTTTACCTTCGGTTGTTCGATTTAAATTAAATTAGCTATCGCAACGGTGGTACGGGCAACAACTTCGGACGAGGCAATTTATGGCGATTGCGGTGCGTTTGAATTCTTAAAGCAAATTAAGTTTGCAATTAACTCGAAGGAACAGCGAAGTTTGCCGTGGCCGATGCTCATCGATCGAGCTTGATTTCGTGGAGGAATCGATGCCCAGTGCCAACTTTTAACTCCGCGAAGAGAGACGTCGCGAGCACGTTCGCTGGAAACTTTCTTCTCCCCCGGAATGTCCCTTCACTCTTTTCCGCTTTTTTCATTTTTTATTAATTCGGGGGCTCGAGCCCGAAACGATTAAAAAGTAATCTGGTATTCCGCGAGTTCATCTTCGTTTTTCTTACGACTTCGTTTTCCGCGTCCGACTTCTCCGTTTGTCAAAGACGGCGGAGAAGAGAGGAGGCACGAGCCGCTCGATGAGAGGCTCGCGAACTAGAGCAGGAAGTCTTAGAAGGAGACGGAAAAATTTCGAGCTCATTACAGGACCTTAAAGTTTCTTCGTTTTCCGGCTGAACTTCTTAAGGTGCACTCTTCCTCCCCCCCGAATCCTCTTCGACGGCCGACCACTTAAACATTTATGTAAATTCCTTTTCTCTTATGGTTCAATCCGTCTCTCTTCGGGCTCTCGTCCGCCTGAAAGACTGACCCAGATATTTCCCCCATCGACACTTCTGCCGATTAATTCTTTCTTCGATTGTACCGATGGTGGTCGATTCGGCTGAAAGGAATGTACCGAGCAACCGATGCGTGGGATCGTACTTCTCCACGGTCGAAACGGGAGAACGGTCTGGCTTTTTGTTCTCCAGCGAGTTTTTGAGGTGGTACCATGTCCGGCTAGTTATTTCGTCTTCCATTTTCTCTAATGGCTCGAAACTCGTTACTCATTGTCAGTGGGCTGAAGTGGCTAGAGACCACGAAAACTTTTCAAGAGTTCCCTCTAATTGCGACGAGTTCCGAGCACTCCCCTTCTCCGTTTCCCGTGGTCGAAATTTCGATCTGCCATCGATAGGGCAACCCCGCCCGACGTACCGTCCGATCTGTCCAGCTCCTCCTTTTACCCCGTATATTTCAGCATATTAAAACGACCACTCGGTTCATCGTTGGTTCATTTCTGTGATACTCGATAACTGATGAAAAACTTATTAAAAGCAAACCGGGAGAGGAGAGAGCTAAAATAATTTATTTAAAATCTTGCGGGAAGTTCCGCAGGATCTCGGTATCTCCTATCTAATCTAATAAAAAAGCCAGTTTTGAAGAAGTTTCGGTGGAACTTGTGTCATCTCGGCCGCGTATGCTAATGGCTATTTCAAGTTACTATCTTACTTAAAGATTAATCAAGTTTCAAAACTACCCAGTTCGGCAATTACTTTCTCGGAAAATTCCAGGAATGTTGCGCCACGGTAATGCCGTTTTTCCCGTGCCATCTCGCAACTTCGTCGTCTTCTTCCCGCGCCGTGCTTATTAGTTTATTTTTTCCTGCGCGATCTGCTGCTCCTCGCGACTGTCCAAGATCGACCCGGCGCGGCTGCTTTTGAAGTGCATGTTGCGGCGCATTCTAGAGGGGCGGGGGCGGCTTTATCAATATGGATGTGCGTTCGGAAGTTCTTGCATAATGGAGGGACCATCAGACGGTTTCACTCGACCTGAACGATCATTAGAATAGCAGACGTCCGAGTGGCGACTCGATTAACCGGAATCTCGAGACCCTCCGGAGGAACTAATTGAAGAAATCCTTTTCCCGGTGGCCCGCTTTCCGTCTCGTTCGCCGAGTAAACTTTTCTCGCCGTGAAAAAGTATCCACGGTTCCTCGTCTTCTCTTTTTAACGGCATCGCGTCCGTACGAGCAGCTCGGACGAGAAGCGAAGATGAAAGGAGTCTCTCGTTCCGGAAGTTGTTTCGAACTAATTGTTTTAGGGCATCCTGATAGATTAATGATCTTCTTTGCGAAGCGTCGCTCGTTAATGGCGCCGAGCGAGCTTGCTTCGAAACTAAGCTGATTATTCGCTGCCTGTTACATCGAAGACGCGTCAAACACGCCTCGGGATCGACGCAACTTGTATGGTTTTTCGTTCTTCTTTCACGTTCCTTTTCTACTCCCGTTCAAGGAGCAGCAGCTTTAAAGCAGTTTAAGAACAGACGGCGAATCTCGTTCCGGGTGTCGCGATCGCCGAACGGAATTAAGCTAATCATTGTTAGCCCGACAAATATTTGACAAACAGTCCGTCATACCCGATTCCTCGTCGGACGATCTCTAATTTACCTTCTCCTCGAGCTCGCGTAATTGGGAGATAGCCTGACTAATTAGTAGCCGAGAGATGGCCACCTCGACCTCCGAAACGAATCGCAAACTCCCTGCTCTGCTACCGTCGTTTCCCATTGTTTGTTTCCGTCGAGATGCCCGTTACCCCTTGCTACCGGAATACTTTTCGGGATGCACGTGTGCGCGTGCCAACAGACTCGACCACTTCCACGAGCCGTTCAAACATCGTTCCTTACGGCAGCTGAGATCTTTTTCCTACTCGTAGATAAAAGTTCCCTCGCCTTCTTTATTTATTTACGCTGGCCATAAAATTTTTATCCCCTTTTGCGCCGCTTCCACCGAAGTTGCTGCTTCCTATAAAAAGTAAAATCTTCAAACAGCGTATAATTACCGTTCTTTGTAGCATGAATAATTAACGAGTACTAGTTTTATTTCGTACCCGTAATATGGGCTTATTAAAAATGCTCAGGAACTTCGGAGTCTTCTAAGCGGCACATAATGGATCCGATGTTTTTCACGTTCGACCGTTCGAATGCCATCGATCCTCTTTTTGTACCGTTAATAACGTGCCGACTCCTCCCTCGATACGCGTCGAAGAAACAGAGACACTTTCGAAAGCGTCAGGTGTTTCCGTACAAAGCGGCTTGACGGCCAGTTATTTATACGCCACCCTCCTTCTCACCGAGATGTACCGTACGTACATGGCCGAGGGATATCGCCTCGTTATCTCCTCCCCTTGGAAATGTCGCGGCACGTCGTTCGGTTTACAATCCGCGCGACAAAAGGAAGGAGGATCGTTTACCCACGCGGGAAAACTAGTGGACGTTTTCTCTCGTTTCCGTGTCTCATCCGTTTCCGCTGTCCCTCCCATTTTCT